TTTCTATTCTTAGAGTATTGATAAGCTCATGAAGATTTCTAATAATTGTAAGTCTATTCTCACTTCTACTGAGAGTAGCATCCATAATCTTTTATTTCATAATCAACTCAAACAAATTCAAAAAGTTAAATTAGATGAGAATAATCCATAACCTCTAATAAAAATTTCCACAAAGAGGGGTAATCCAATCTCTTTAAGGAAAAGATGAATGTTAGAAAATAAGATTTTTTGTTTAAAGGTGGATAGTCTACAACCTTCAAAATACAACAATAGAAGTGGGATAATTCACTCAATTTTAAAGAAAGATAAAAATATTAAATTAGCACTCTTGTCAAAATTTCAAGGACATGAATCTTAAAGAAAGAAATCTTCAATACGCTTTTGTGACAATGAAATGAATTAGAAAGTTACTCAAAGATAATATATTATTGAACTAGAATAGCTATTGCTAATAAGAAGATTAGAAAGACTTGAAACAAGATTAAAGACTAGAAAGGTATTAACAAGAATGAAGAAGGATTCATTCTTGCCTCTATATATATTCTCTAACTAAGAGCTACATGGCAATATTCTATAGGACCTCCAACATGTGTTAACTTTGTTAGCCACATGTTTTAACTTACAAGGCAAGTTATCTATGTATTTGTTACATAATTAACTTGTTCTACAAGCTATTATATGTCGTTAACTTGTTCAATAAGCTACTAACATGTCGTTAATTTGTTGGCCAAGTTTCTAATTTATAAACACATCTAAAGTCAAAACAGCATCTATAAAGCTTCTAGAAAGCTCTTTTAGAAGACATTATGTAATTAATCTATATTTATATATTTCTACCTAATTACATAAGTAATTATTTGGATAAATAAATAAATATATATATATATATATATATATATATCCATGATATTAACCATCATCTCTTATTATAATTGTAATCTAAATAATCAACCTAAAATTTTTAAATTAAATTTTTATATTCAAAAAATTCAATCTAAATGTAATATATTTTTTATTCTAGAGCACAAATTTTGTAGCTTAAGAGTTAAAAACCTAAAAAACCAATTATAGCCACAAGTTAAATTTTTAAAACTTGAAATAATATTAGGATATGTCAAAAAATCAAATAAATGTAATATCTTATAATATATGTATTTTTTTCTCCCATCTATTTGAATACCTAGTTCATAATGTTGGATCTTTTATAGAAAAAATATAATCTTATAGATTATATTAAAAGACATACCAAGTAGTTATATAAAATTTATAATAAATTTTATTTCTAAAAAATAATATAAAAAATAAATAAAACAAAATAAAAAGCTTTGATTTAATATAGTTGACAAAATATCCTCAAATATTTCTTGGCTTTTTGGTGGTAATTAGAATATGATAGAGCAATTATAAGACAAGTTCTAAAATTTCAAAAGAATTCTAACAAAGATGATGCTTGTACTTAGAAGTCTTTGAAATGGAGGTTTTAATTAGAAGATTTTTTCATTCATCCAAGACATCTTTTCTTCTCTTGAGATGATGGAAGAAAAAGAAGAAGAGTTTTAGCTTCTCTTAATAGATTATATATATATATATATATATATATATATATATAATTTAAACCAACATTCTTTTATATAGAACAAGAAGGGATATAATCTTATCAAATTACTTGCTTGTAAAATTATTTATTTAATTTCTTCACTTATTAATATCTTTTAAAAAATCTTTAATAGATTTTATCAAAATTAATAAATAAATAAATTACTTGCATTTAATTATGGTAAATATATTATTACAAATAATAACAAACTATTATAAATACTTATTTTATTTACATCATATTATGTCCTTATAAATTAGTTATTCTATAACTATTCAAGTAATTAAGTATATGAGTTAAAAAATTAGTTTAATTAAATATAATTTTAAATCAAAAAAATAGCACATATATATATATATATATATATATATATAAAGTAGTTTAGACAAAATAGATCTAAAAAATGTAATATTAGTACTTAATTTTGAATACATAATTAAAGGACTACAACCAAGTGGCTCTATTATTTAAAAATTTATTAAATACAACTTTATTAAAACAAAATCAACAACCAAAGGCAAATGGCGACTAGATTTTATTTAGTCTTTTAATATTAAAGACAAGTAGAACCAATTATGGAAAAATGGCCTAAAAAAATGAAGTTCATAAATAATAATTATAAAATATGATTGTCACAAAATCCAAAAAGAAATTGAAATTTGGAATAAAAATATAGAATTTGGAATAGATTTTTACAATTATTCTTTTAGAAAAATAAAGAATTTATTTTATACAAGACAATGAAAAAATTTTATTCTAAATAAACTTCTTAAAACATAGTTTAATAGATTACTTTTTACTTAATAAGAATTTGATAGATCTATAAAAAGTAATCAAAGAATTATTTTCATGTGTTAGACAACACACTCTGTAACATTCAATAACACATTCTTTTTTCTTGATATATATATATATATATATATATATATATATATATATATACATAAATAGAAAAGAACCTATTGTACAAAAATATTTCATTTCTAAAATTTAAAAAATTGATAGAACAATAAGAATTAAAAAAAATACAAAAACATCTCTTCACATAGAATAAATTAACTAATGATTCTATGAATATCTTTAAAGATATAATTTACACTACCAATGTCCAACAATAACAATATTTAGTAAATAGGAAATCAATCTAAAGTTTTATAATAATCATATCCAAGTGGGCATGGCTCCGAGATCATGTGAGCTAACATTGTAAGGCCAGCATTCACAGTCTCGCATGCTGCGGATTCGCAGATGGCATCTATAATTCCAACACAGCGGATGACACGACTTCGACGAGCTCGTCGTTGCGGTAATGTCATATTTGAGTCATTCGTCCAGCATTTAGCACTGTCCTCTTTCAATGGAAACGTAGCTCACGAGGTGTTTCTCAAGTCTTCCTTACAGCGACAAATGCTAAGATTTTTTCAGAGGTGGTGCAAGAATAGGCTTCGTAGTGTGGAATGATCTGTATGTTGCAGTATTTATGTCACCAGTTGTTGAAGCCGGTGTCGAGCCCCAGCAGAGAATCCTGCTTGAAAGAATTATCATCCTAACACTGCTCATGAAACTAGCTGAATGTTCTGAACAAAACGAGTCAGGTGGCTCTCTCAGAATCTGGTAAAAGTGGACATAATATGTTTTTGCAAAAACAGGATTTTTTCAGAATCCCTCCATAGCGTGGCCAGCAAGGCCCACTGGATCCTTTTAAGGTATCACAGACTACTTCGTGACCCCTGCTGGGTTCTAGAAACAACACTGTGTTTTATAGAATTTTAAGAATTTTTTTAAGCAAATATTTCAATGAATATATTAGCTGAGAAGCAATCTACAACTTGATGCATAGATCATGTCTTGTGGTTTTTGAAGAGTTTCCACAATATCTTCTTCAAGGCAAGAGAAATGTCATTATCAATCGTATCAATTCCTTTTTTGTGTTTCAATCTTAATTTAAGTTGCTTTAATTTCTTTGTATTAGCATTAGACAATCTGTTTCTTTCCATCTTGCAATTATCTCTCTTTCAGAGTTACATAAGCATGTTGCATTTTGAGAGATTTGTTGTAATGCATGTCCTTCACATTTGCTTAGGTTTGCAATTCTGATAAATCCATCATAGTGTCATCTTTTATAGTAGAAGCTTCTTCAAGTTTTAATAGTTCTTATTTTTCAAATTGTAAAACTGAATAAACTTTCAGAATGATATGTAAAATTAAAAACAATAATTACCTCATTCTCTTGATCACATGAAAGCTTCCATAGATTGCTCAAAACCTTTTTATAAATAATAGCATGATATTGAACTACAATTTCTATTCAAAAACTCACTTATTAGTTTTATTGGATTTGAGTAGTTATGATTTCTCAAGCTGAAAATCAATTGTTTTGTGAATAAAAGAATAACTAAAAATGAATTGGCTTGGTGTTCATTTCAACAGATCCACTTGCACCGCCACGTCTATTCCCGCATTGCTGCATTTCCTACCAACACGGAGAAAATTCTCCGTGGGTGCAACAGGTCCACTGGTCCATTTGGTGCATCTGACGGTAACTCGCTTCCACAAATAATACGCGCGAGCGGAAACCCCGGCCCAGATTGTCAACGGTGTAAGGTAACCAAATTTGGCGTTTGCGGACAAAGACTTTCATGGGACCACGACAGTTTTAGGCTGTCTCAATTCATTCTTTGCGATGACACTTTTATCCTTGTGAAAAGCTCGTCCGAAAATCTCGTCTTCTGGGCTTGATTTCGTTTATATCAACATTCATAATCGATTCCGCCTGTGAATACAGCGCTGAGTTTCTTCGTTTCAACTCTTGATTCCACGTGTCCCCATATTTGTATTTGATTCTGTTGCAAACCCTAGTGAATTTGTATTGACGTGTTGCACTAAAAACCAAGTGTTGGTTTATTTATATTCAAAATTTCAAAAACTCTGTGAGACTTTAAATGAAGATTTCAATCTATGGTTTATATTTTTCAATGATTTAATTTAACAATATACATGTGCTATATATAGCATTTTTAAAATGTAAAATAGCTAGGTAGAACGTTAAAAGTAAATAATATAATCTTGTTTTTCCTTTTAAAAAACGTTATGCTTACTTTAAAAATAAAAAATCAATCTCTCATTAATGTTTGAATGAGACAGTTCAAATCCAGGTGGGACTAATGTTGAGAAACAATTTGAGCATCAAACAGAATATTTCTAAAAGCGAGGGATAATGTGAGTTATAACTATAAAACCCTAAACCCTAAAACCTAAAACCTGCTTGGATCTACACCTGCTTGGATACTTGGTTGGATTAGACATGCAACTCACAGATCATTCCATACAATCAAGCCTATTCTTGCAGCTACTCTGAAAAAATCCCCCAATGCCCGCTAACATGTTCAGTTGGTAACCCATGTTGGTATCACGATAAGTAAGAGTGCCCTGTTACTGAGATGAAAATTTCAGTCACTACAACGGTGGGATATATACCAGTCTCCTATTAATTACGGCCAAAACTAATCAACCAGACTAAGTTCAGTCATCTATTTGATGAATTAGTTCTATACATAATGTTAATACTCTAACACCCTCGCTCATTCTGGACGTCACTTTGATTCTTCACGGCTAAATTTAGAAATCACCGCTGGATATTCGATGGAGCTTTGGGACAATGTAGACTGCCGCTTATTGCTCCATGTAGGAGGTCCTGCTGACATTGTGAAGAAGTAAGCACCCGTACCGCGGTGAGTGTCATGACATGCCCTCCAATCAACATCGGAGTACCCCAGAACTTGTTGTCCTTCGTTTAGTTTGTATAGGATGAAGTAGGTTTGGGTACTGTTCTTGACAATGTTATACATACAAACCGGCCTATGGCCAAAGTATATCAAAAAAAAAAAAAACGAGATTCACTCAATTGTTCAAGTCTTCGTAATAGTAGCAGCATCGCCTTGGAAAAATGCTTTGTTGATCATCACCGTTGTGCCGCCTCCGTGCCATCTCCGGTTGCTTTCCATCTGCACCTCTCGGCGTTGGTCGTCTTTGGCAGCCTCTTCTCCAGTAGCCAAGTCTTGACAGCGTTTGAACGCGAATTTGAATTGCGGACAACCAATGCGTGAGACTGGCATGAGAATCAACTATATCAACCACACTCTCCAACTCACCATCCGCATTGGCTTCTCAGCTCATCATCTGCATCCAACACTGCCTCTCTACACACCGCTTTGAACAAATCCAAGCAGAGCTGTAAATGACTCGAATTTGCCGCCGCCAATCAATGAGCGTCCCATGGTCCGGATTTTGGCACAAAAACCACAAGCAATCTTGTAGAAGGGGTACGTGGCAATGAACCTGAGAGAATTTCATGAGCAAGAGATTACAACAAGCAAGCTAATTCAAAAACAACAAACTTGTATTCTTCAAAACCAAATCACAAGCTAATCCAGCAACAACAACCAAAAGTTTCAAACTATCCAAACTCTTCTGTGGCTCACAATCTCAAATTTGAATTCTTTCCATCACAGCTAAGCAACACCAATTCACTCCTTTAGCTCAGCAACGCCAAATTCTTTCTTCACTCGTTCAGTAGATACTAGTACATAATAACTGAGACATTAGAGGTACAACTTAGACAACACGAACAACACACAATATGATTTGAATATTTAAACCAAGTTTGAGAGGGGTGTTGGAAGTATTCACCCATCAGTCGCAACATTCATCCATTAGGGGTTAGGATTTGGTGACTGCAGTATAACCGTCCAAAAAACATCCAAGAGTTATGATTTCATCTATATGTGATCGATGAACTTATCTAGTTAATCTTTCCTCACAAACACACCCTATTTTAGGCATTTTACCCTGTATTCAAATAGCAGTAATACAGTGCCAGAGAAAGCAAGATTTAATGGTAACAGAGATCACATGATACCTGACATATGGTTCCTACCCGGGCCAAAGCACGGCCCCCCGGGTCACACTAGTTGAACAATAAATGATTGAAACTACATTACATCAGGTCTTGACGTGCAGACTCAAGACCGGCTCAAGGTTCCTCATAATCAATCAAACGAAGAGCGTTCCACTTGCCAAATGTGCAGATACTTATCCTGCACATGCAGGGCGCACAGAAGATCAGTACAGCGCGATGTGAAATGACAATCTGCAAACGTTATGCAAACCATAGCTTAACCATCATGATCTTCCACAGCCGTATCCGGTTTAGTGTGAGTACTGGCGTTCTCTGCTGCATTTAAATCGTTGAAAAATGAGAAAACTTGAGCACTTGGAGGAGCTCGCCCTTGGTTAGCAGTAGCTGGTGTTGGGTAAGGATATCCATTTGGTTGCTGCGGATAATGTTGTGGTAAACCACCGGGTGCTGGATATGGATATCCATTTGGATGCTGCGGCTGATGTTGTGGTAAACCGGCGTTGGCCTTGGCATTGTCATTACCATTGCGTCCGCCTACATTCACAAACCAATGGCAATTACAGCATCTCGAGAACATGTTCGTAAATTTTCCGATCAAAATCAAGATGATTCCGAGAGCTGTGATTCCTCCTACGCTTCCCCCGATCGGAGCAGCTAGGTTCAGAGATCCTGTAGCATCCCGACGCAGACCACAGGTTACTGATTGAATGTGGTGACGAATGATTCTACATGAGCCTACGCAAACTACACTGTGCACAAGCCCTAAACTAGAAGAACGAGCCTGTCAACGAAGACCACGAGGTGTATCCGCATGGCATTTTGAAGACCCCGGTTTGGTGGTCTTGCCTTTGAGGATTAACACCATAAAATTTACAACGAGCTGGGGATGGAAAATGGAAACAGTACCTGGAGGCTCATTGGTCGTCGAACTCGGGCTTGATTGTTCAATTGGAGTGTTAATGCCACCGATGGAGCCAGGCGTAGGTAACGAAGGGGACACGGGAGAGGCAGGGGGCGCTGATGAAGGTGTCGTAGAGCACGATGCTCCAGCAGATAGTTTACAGTCTCTGAGCAAGGAGCTTGCTTTATTCGCGTTCGAAGTAGGGTACAATGCGGTCAATGATCTAACTTCGTCGCAGAAACAGTCAGCCCCTTCCAACTTGTATAAATATCCAACTTCATCGCAACAAGAGGTATCCGGATACGTTAAAGTATCCTCCAAATAACCATAGCAAGAAACATACAATACCGCCGCTTGGCTGTCTGCGCATATTTGCGCCTGCGCAGTGCCGGGGGCGTTTAGGACCAGAGCCAAGACTACCATCGCGATGACGCTGCACGCAGGTTTCTCCATGTCGGCGGTCCCTACAACTTCCTTGTACTTGTTGCAGTGCATCCACCCAAGCCCACGATCTACACGATTTCACCAGGGCACAACGCTAGATACAGACACGCAGCAGCTGGAAGATTGCAGGCCAACTGAACTTAAGTATGAGATCGAGAGTACGCCCCTGTAACTCTGTCTGATCCATTCTCTAAGCTTGAACTGCGCAAGGGTGGGCTTACCACCAGGACTACCAACATGCTGAATAAAAATTTGCGCATCGCCATTGATGCCTGACAACACGGAGATGAATGGCCAGGGAATCCCAGGTTTCCTCTTGCAGATCGCAACAGGCATACCATTTATACCTTTAAAAAGCTCTTTGGATGCTGCTTCTTGAGGGTCAACTATGGGGTTTCTGTTTTTCATTTGTATCTCATTCATGTTTGACATTGCGTGTGCATTTAATGGTAAATTTTTATTGAATTTCTGGATATGCAAATAAGTCTTACAGTGGCTCTTTTACATACTGCCGTTAAGTTTTCGAAACCAAACATTTAATTACAGTTAAATGCAATTCCTCATCCTTTACTCTTGTTATTTTCACAACACAAAGCTAGAATTTCTTGCAGCACTACGTTTTAAGGTTCGCCTTTTTGTGGGTTGCAATTTACAATCTGGAATTTGCAATAAAATTTATTAAATCTAACTATCTTGTTATAGGATGTTGTGTTTAATTCTGTACAGTGTAACTGTTTTATCTTATTCAAGTTTTTCTTTTGAAGGTGTTGACAAGATTAAGAAGGACGTCATTCTTGTATCTATGTATACTTGCTATAAAGAAGATTTTGTAGAAGCTTCTTACAAACTAAGATATATCTTTGATTTGGTATTAGTATTAAAAAATAATAAAATAAAAATCTTTAATTATAATCTTATAATTATAATTAGAAGAATTAGGCTACGGCCATGTAGCCATTATAAGATAATCTAAATATTACTGGCAAATATTTGTGATGCTCAAATTTTTAACTACATAATTAAATAAATTTTAAATAAATTCCAATTATCTAACTTATTTGTATTTTTTTACTTTAAAAAAATCATGTTAATAAATAATGTCATATATATATTACCTATTATTAGAATATATAAAAATATAGATTCTATATTTAGTAGAAATTATAATAATTTTTTAAATATTAAAAATCTTTTGTAGTATTTTAATATTTTTTTAAAAAATACATATATTAGCAATCTCACCATAGAAGTACTATTATTATATCAATAGAAGACTCTTCAACTCAAATTATAAGATGGCTTCAATTAAGAGTTTTTTTTAATTGGATGTATGAAGTAAAAAGAAAATAAAAATAATAATAATAACAACACAAAACAAGTGAATGATTACAATCAAAAAATTATACATTATAAAGCTAGTCATAATTTATTCACTAGATTTTTATCTAATCAAAATTTAAAAGTAAAAATCAAAAATCTTATTTTTAAATTTTAAATTTTTAAATATTTTTAATAAATTAAAAATATTTAAAGATAAAAAATAAATAATAAAAGAACTAAGTAAATATGTTTCATCTAAAGGATAATTTGCCTAAAAAATCAATGATTTGAACCTCACCAAGGCTCACAAGTAATGTACAAGGATGTCCTAAAGAAGCTACAAGATCTTAATCTCACCATCTTATCTACATTTAAGGTGCTACAATCTATATGGAACTTGTGCAACTCTCTTTCTACTTTTATAGATAAAATTAATATTAATAATTATCAAGATAAGTAGAATTAAGTAAAAATAATAAAAAAAAAATACTTATCTTGTAAATTAAACATGTGTTTTAAAAGTAGGATATGTATTAAAGATCTTATAGAACATTACCACGTAATCCATAATTAGATATTATATATAGATATAAGATTGAGGCCTTTTTTACTCTTATTAACATCTTTTTTATTTTTAATATTATTTCAAAAGTTTATAGTCTTATTTTTAATATTAGATATTTTAGTTTTAATATTATATTATTTTAAAATAAATATCTATTCTTTTTAGTAACATAAAAATATATTGATATTTTAATTGTTTGTGATTCATGTTTTTGACAAGAATATAAATTTAAAATTTTTATTTTATTTTAGAAGTAAGTGGATTATCTTACTTTTTTTGTTGTGTTTTAAAGGTTGCATATTAAACACTTTTGATTTTTTTTCTTTTTTAAAAAAATTTTATTATTGATTTTAAAAAATATATATATAATAAATTTATTTGAAAAATAATAATTTGATATTACGAATTACAAATTGCTTTCATCTAATTTGATTTATAGAGTTGTTAATTTTTTTTTGTTGAAAAGATGGAAGAAAAAATTATGAATGCTCTACTTGGTAGAAGTGAAAATAGATTTAAAACTACTACAAATCTTCATGAGCTTATCAATGTTCTTAGAGCAAAAAAATAATGTACCGCCAATATCAACAATGGAAATATTAATCTTATACCTATAAAAGAACTTAATAATGAATCCCAATGTCTATATCAAAAAACTGTCTAGTTAAGAAAATCAAGCATAACAACCTTACAAGTGAATTCAAAAAGACTTGTTACTATAAGTATGAAGCATACAAAAATTGATATGCTATAGAAGTTTATTGGAATAAGATTAAAATTTTGAAGATTTTTACAACAAGTCAAGCTTTATTTAAGATTACATTCTTCTCAATATTCTAATAGATTTACTCAAGTTGAATTCATAGGTGCATTTTTATTTAGAAGCTTATTATTAAATATACTAAAAGCATATTCATTAGAATAATTTACCATTTAAGCCATTATACATAACAATCAACTTCTTAAAAGACACCATAAAAAAAAGATTTGGTTTGAAAATAATAAGTCAATTTATAACAAAAACTCCTAAATTTTTAAAAATATAATCACCATAATCGAAACCTATACAAATTGATATAATATTTATTAAATATTTCATTAAGTTTTTTTTTTTTTTTTTTTTTTTTTCATAATAATGATGGCATAAAAATAATTTATGTTTATATTATTTTTATGCCATTATTATTATGAAGAAAACTTAAACACATTATTTAGCATTGTCTAAAAAAATAATACAACCACAATATAAATATGATTGCTAAAGAAGTAAATATTTCTTAATACAAATTTGTATAGCTGTAATAAAAATTATGCAGTTAGAATCTTATGCAACACATTATACATATCATATTTTCTTTTCATATCCTTCATGTTATTCTACAATATATATTTATTTAAGACTAAAAAAATGACAAAGCATTTATTTGGTTAGATTCATGAGCCTTTGTTTATTTTATAAATGAAAACTTGTTAATACACAAGAAATATCATTGATAAAAAAAATAAACTTATATATATAGAAGGCATTAATTATTATCTTTTATCTTATAGAGATATTATTCATGAAATTAATTATATAAATTTTCCAAAAAATATTTATAATAGTTTAATAAAATTTAATATTATTAGATCTTTTTTTTATTTAATTATTTTAGATTTATTATAGATAAAAAAATATAATTATCAAATGGATTGAATTTCTTATAATCTCAATTTTTTCCACAATATAATTTAGAACTCTATTATCTAAATAGAAAGTCATAAATCTACTACAATCAAATCCATTCATATCTTTTGAATTCACACAATAAAAATCAACAATTAATAATGACATACAAACAAAAAGTTTTACCGTGTAAGCAATATCATAAGAAAAAAATAAAAGAAAACAATCATTGATATTTCATCAACCATTATATAAGAAGAAAAATCCAAGATTGTCTAATTCTAATAATAGAACCTAAGGACTCATGACTTTTAACATAAAGTGACTATACTACAAGCACTAACAATTGAATAAAACATTTTCAAAATTGCCTACTACAACCAAGAACAACAAAATCACACTCTCCAACACTACTAACATGACAAGAATAAAAAAAATGAATAAATAAAAGAAAAAAAAGAAACAAAATCTAAATAGTATAAATTCCTACATCTACATGAAAAGGCATGTATACTAGCTACTACAAGCTTAAAAACAATCTAAGGTTGAGCTTTGCAATACTATTGATTTGAGCTCCACTGTTCTAACTACACATTGAAAACATACAATTAAAGAATAATCAATCCAATGAAGTTCTTTGAGAGCAGTCAATTAATAGAGTAGAAATTAACAAATAATATTAGAATCATTGGCCTTATTGACAAAGAAAGATATTACCCAATTCTTCACTAAATTATAATAACAAGAGCTAAAAAGAAAAAGAAAAAAAATAACAACAAATCTATAATCACTGATCCCTCTAATTATCATATACAAATAAGAAAAAAAGAAAAAAAGAAAACCATGCAAATGCCCCTAATCTTTTTGACCAATTGATCCATTACAGTATCTAATGTTCCAAAATTTAGAATCAAAAAACAAGTATGATAGAAAGACTAGATATCTTTTTTCAACGAAGAGCCGTCGAAGATTTCAGAACAAAAATATTAATAATGACAACTTTTTTGTTTTTATTTTCTTGCCAACTATCTAACACCTTCCATACATCTTAACTTACAAACTAAATTTTACTAAGATACTCGAATTTGATTGATCGGCATCTAAATTTGACAAAATAACTTTGCAATGTTTCAAGCATGATTCTTAAGAATAATTAATGAAATAATTAATATGATGCAATTCACTCAAAATTATTATGGCACTTAAGGACAAAGCATGTAACAATCACCTCCCATTAAATAAAATAAAATGTATAAATCAAAGCAATAAGACAATCTAAACTATCTTAACTACAATTCAATCTTCTAAACACAAAATAGTAATTGGCACTAATACTTGTCATTTTTTTCAAGATTCACACAAATATTTCTACTATTAGTCCTAAGTCTACTACTAATAAATTTCTTTTTATTTATCTAAGATCTTATATACTAACTTTTCATTAAAGCATAAACTTTAGGAATATAAATGTATTTTGTTTTTATCTTAAACGACAAGTAAATCAATTTTGTGACTCACAATGACTCACAAAGGTAGACCAAAAAAACACTACTAAAAGATACAAGGAAGAAAAAGCAGTAACATTATAATGCATAAATGCTAATAATGGTTGAAGAACGATGAAGAGACTAATGAACAAGCAACCAAAAGATTGGTCAAATATTAGCTGAAGAAATAACAAGCAAGAGCTAAAGCAAGTATGAACATGAGAGGATAAATGTCAAAGATAAGAACTCGATGAAAAAACAATTCAAACAAG